ATAATAATAATAATAATAATAATACGCCTCGTGGATGAAGAGCGGTGGCAGGATCCTGGTTCAGTGGTTCCAACGAGCGGAAGAATTTGGGTGGCAAATGGGAAAAACGATGTTCCCGGCCCCATATTCAAACCCACGTCCCATGCTCATGGCCCCACCTGCTCTACGCGAAACACACAAAATTGTTTTTATCTAGTTTGTACTTTGTACGGAGCATTTTATTTTAAATTTGTAAAATTAAGATGTTTTTAATTGAGACCAGATTATATGCAGATATGATCATAATAGATCGGATCAGACCAGATCATATTTGGACAGTTATAAAACACAAAGATCATACATCTATCGAATCGCACCAAAGTATTTCACACCAGACCAGATCATATCACACCAAAAAAATTAGTCTAAATAAAAACATCCTTACCCAACCAACTTGTAGTTGTGTAAATTATATTCCTCGTTCCTTAAAATTTTATAATCTTTCCTTTTTGAACTGGCTCGAAAATTTTGGTATTTTCCTTTTTAATCAATTAATTTGCGGTTATTATTATTTCTCTGCCAGTACAAATCTCAACACACAATTTTACTTTACAAGTATTATTTTTCTTCTCGTTCAGTATGATAAAGTTTTAAGAGACGCAGAAAGGAGTCTTTCCATCCCAATCCAATTTATTAAGGTTGTGTTTGGTATGATGTAATGCAATGCAATACAAAATGTAATGTAATGGAATGAAGTCTCTATTCCATTACTATGTTTGGTTACTTAAGTAACAACTTTGAATTGTAATCAACATCACATAATTATGTTTGTTTAAATTATCTACATGAGAATTAGAACCATATATTCGTGTGTGTGTGCGCGCGCGTGTGTGCGTGTGTGCGCGCGCGCGCGTGTGTGCGTGTGTGCGCGCGCGCGTGTGCGTGTGTGCGCGCGTGTGTGCGCGTGTGCTCGTGTATCTTTGTGCTAGCATGTGTGCACGTGTGTGTGCGCGTGCGTGTGAGTTTGCGCGGGTGTGCGTGTGCGTGTGTCGGGACTGCGGCCCCAATTTTTTTAAAAAAAAAAACATTGATTGGCTGCTAGGTGGGTGGGGCTGGGGGTGGGGGAGGAATAAAATTCGAAAAAACAAATTTAAAAAAAAAATGTCCGGCCTGGTCCCGGTACAAACCCGGGCCGGTACCGGGCCTGCAACCCAAACTTTTAGTCCCGCCCAATCTCGTCCCGGGCCGGGCCGGTCCACCCCTACGTGGTATAAGTTGTAATCTCAAATGCACATCTTGTTTAATGTAATACTTATCAAACATATCAAATAATGAGTTCCACATGTGGAATGATCATTAAATTATGGTTTAAAATAAAAATGACATACCAAACATCGTAATCAAATCAACATGTAATGCTCATTACATTACATTACATGATTGAAACATGGCCTAAAGGTTTAAAGAAAAGGAGTTGTATACTAGTATCAAAGGAGGGAGTAGTTGTTGGGGAAAACACGACCCCCGAGCTCTTCCAGGATCACCAGCTCAAAGGACTCTTGTACATTTACCCACCCACTCGTAACACAAAGATTCAATTTTACAATATCACTTTGTATTATACAATTGAAATGTACAAGAGATATTTTACAAGTAAATGGGTAGCTCACATCACTCTTTGTATGAGACTACTTCACTCTCACATCCCTCTCTATAGGAGGCCTTCACTAACTCAATAGCCCTCCTCAAGGATCTCTCTCTCATCACTTGAGGAGGCTCTCTCTAGCCTCTCACTCTAGGACCTCTTCATGGCTCTCACTCTAGAGGCTCTCTCATTTAGGAATGAGGAATCTCACCCCTATTTATACAACTCATCTCAAAGCTTCTCTAGAACTTTCTATACATCACTACATTTCTAGATTCTTCCAAGAACTATCCACAAGCTTCTCTAATCTTCTAGAAGGATCTAGAGAACTCCACATCGCTTGAGAATGTTCTAGAGGCTTCCACAAATTTCCGCACGATTCTAGAGAATTCCACATTTCTCTAGAAAACTCCACATTGTTCTAGAATATTCTACACTCTTCCACACGCTTCTAGATAATTACACGTCTCTCTAGAAAGCTCCAGAATATTCTAGAACATTCAATACTTCTCTACACACATCTAGAGAATTCTAGACATCTCCGCAATATTCTAGAATTCTCATTAACTTCTCGAGGGAACCCAACAGTAGTATCAAATATGGAGTATATAGTTCTGCTTTTTTAATATATGTGTGTTATTCTCACTTGGTAGGAAGGGTTGTCACCCTTTTCTCATATCCAAAAGGTTATATGGATGGTGTTTCTTCTTTGAGCTCATGCTTCGTAAAAATACGGAGTAATAACTAAACATTTCCGGATGGATCAACTGATTTATGTAAACATTTATCAAGTGGTGTACTTTCATAAAATTTTCATATCCACTTTTTTATATAACCATTAAACTTTATAATAGTATACACCCGCAGTATTAGATAAGTAGCATTTGACACCTAGCTAATTTTATGGCAAGAATAGCCAAATCGGTTAGATATGAAACATGGAGATTAAAAATTGTGTGTTAATATCTTAAGAGAGTCTGATAGGTATCGTTCATCAAATCATGTCTTCATCTGAGACTCGTGTATATCTTCATGTTCTTTGCAGTCTTGCAGACATCTTACGTAAGACTTAGTTGAAATGATTGACATCCTGAAACTTATACAAAGCAGGGGTATATAAAATACATAATGGGGGGGGGCATTGGGTAAACAGGAGGTCGTCATTAATCTTTCATTTATGTACTTTTTTGTGTGTTTATGGTCTCTTACAGGGGCGGAGCTACTAGGGAATTAGGGTGGTCAGCCGACCCCGCTGAAAAGTTAAGAGTGTAGAACTTTTAAATATCTTCGATTTGATAAATTATGGATCTCGTAACTCATTACGAGTAAAAAGTTATGACTTCTGCAAAATCAACACTATTTAAGTTTGAAATTAGTAAAATTGTGATGCGTAATATTAATTATATTCACAAAATAACGTGTAATTCTCGTTACTTACGTGACATAACTTAGGGACAGAGCAAAAACAACACATTTTACTGCTACGAGTGCCTACTCAATAAATGATTCTTTTCTAGTAATAAATCTTGATACTAAACCGAGTAAGATCGAAGAGAACCATAGAGTACTAGGGTAAGACAATGGGTCTCATCCGAGGTACTCAACTCAACCCGTATAAAACAAGTTTATAATATATGTGACATATACGAAGTATATTAACAACATACACTCTATTAGTTTCATTTAAACTATCATTTATCAAAGCTACATTCTATTCGGGTATTGTCTAAAAATAATCTACCGTTTTGATTCTATGTAAATTTGATTTCGACCCCGCTGAGTCATTTTTGTGGCTCTGCCCCTGGTCTCTTATACAATGTTTGTGCTTATTAAAAACATATATTGATTACTATGAATGATGAACGTTGGATAATACGACAATTTAATTCTTTTTTTAACATAAATGAGCACCATTCGACGGAATAGCGTTTGCCAAATGACTTGCAATAAAATCAAGAATAGTCTTGGACTCGGGCCGGGTGGCCCAACCCGGAACCGGCCCGGGGGTTCCCGGTGCGGGCTCGGTCACCCAAAAGCCGAACTGGCCAGGCCGGTTCGGGCCCATTTCCGGGCTTTTTAATTTTTTATTCAATTTTTTTATCTTTCCGGGTTGGGCTGGGTATTTTGGACCATTTGGGGTGGTTTGGGGGTGGGGGGGGGGGGGGTTAATTAGGAAAAGGGAAAAAAATTGACCTGAGGCCCGGCCCGGACCCGGTGGCTACCTGGGCCGGTCCCGGGCCTCCTTCAGAAAACCCGAGGCCCGACCGAGCCTAGGCCCAACCCGGGTCCATGAGTGATCAAGAACCACAACATAACTACAATTGCACCTATGTTCTGAGTGAAACACATGTCTCACATCAATCACATGAACGACATGATTCACAGATCGTGTGCAAAAAGAGCTATTCACGTTACTCTTTATTTGAATAATGTGACGTATTTTTGCTCCTTGAAAAAAGCGCAAAAATTTTATTAGATATGTGTATTCTTGTTCATTTTGTTTATTGAAAAAAGCATATGGAATGGCAATAACTGTGGACTGTTCAGAACATAACAATTCAATTAAGTTTGGCAATTTAAGTAATTCCGTATTTAATACTACCTCTGTCCCATTTTATGTGTCTCCTTTTATTTTGGCACAATTTTTAATAAAATGGACGAAATGGTAAAAGTTGTGGTTGAGATTTGAGTATAGTAAGTGAAATGTTGTGAACCACATATTTCTTTCCAAAAAAGGAAAAGTGACGCTTATTTTGAGACAACCCAAAAGGAAAATAAGACAGGTAAAATAGGACGGAGGAAATAGTCACTTGACTGGCATAGTGTTTTGATTTTTTTGGGCGATAGAAAGAAATAAATATGAAATGTTAAATCTAACTTGAACTCTTGAAGTGTATAACTTCAAGATTGCGTTGCGCTTATTTGATAACTTTTAGAAGAAACTTACACCAAAATGCATAAACATCAGATGAATTATTTGAACTCGAGACTCAAAAGATTCAGATATTACTGGCATAACTCATAAAACTTCAAAGTATGTGGGAAAAAACTTCAAAGTACGATAGTATGTGAGATTGATCAGCCAAAATAGTTTGCTCTGTTCACTTCTTTATTTTAACTTAATAATGCTTGTACTATTTCCAAACCAAAATAGTTCAGAAACATAAAGATCAAACTGGACCAAATTGTGATTAGATCATATGCTATACACCAAATAAAACCCGAAGAAGAAAACAGAAGCATTCAAATAAAAACACTCTTTCTTACCAGGTAAGAGCGAAGAGGGTCCTTTAAGACTTTAAGTAAGCTAATGAGTATAGTGGATTTTTTAACTCCAAATTGAATTGCCATTAAATTTGAAGATTTACAGTAAACACACACACCTACATAGTTTGAGGAGGATTGACAACTAAAACAATATATTACTTAAAAATAATGTGCTTTTAGCCTAGTTCAAGAAGATTACAGTGGTTCTTTCAAACTTTAGAGTTTGCGATTATAGGAAGAATAAAAGATTACAATTGTTCCATAAGAGGGGATTTTAAAAAAATCAAGCCCCAAGAAGTATGAACTGTGAATGTCAAATTCTAAAGTTGTTATCTTCTTCTAGGCACTCAGCGCACCTCTTAGAGGCTCAAAGAATCGCAAAGAACATTCCTTGTGCTTACAAATATAAACGAGCTATTGCAAGGCCGACAGCAGAGATAGAAACAAGAGTTCCTATGCAATATTTGATTACTTCATACTTCGCCGCTTCAAGTTGAGCCCTTAGTTCATGTATTTCCTGTTTATGAGTCAATTCGCTTTTCATAAGAACGGAAAAAAGCATATACTTACCTCATCATTTATGCCCTCTTATTGTGCAACAGCCAAAGACATTTCAATTCATTCTTTTGAAAATTTTATATAAGCAAATAAACTAAATACTTATAAACTACATAAAAAATTACAAAACGAATAGTAACCTAACTATTTGTTAAATAAAGAATACTAAGAAATTAATGAAATTAAGCTATAAAAGATGTAGTTTGATCAATTAATAATACTACCTCCTTTCCAAATTAGTTGTTCTAGTTGCTATTATCTAGTCAATTAAGTTGTCTTTTAATTTCTATTATCAAATTTATTAACCATTTTTTGTCATTTTCAAGTTTGAATTGTGCGATTCAACAGAACTTTTAGTGTTGTTTCCGAATATGCAAGTTTTATTTATTAACACTAATTTATGTGTTATTAGAGGAGAATAAACTTTGTGCTCTGACAACCATAGTAATTCATATAGGGCAAGTAATATGGAAAGAGGAGTAACTTAGAAAAGTAAAATGAGACAGAGTACGACTCAACAAAGGAATTAGAACGCACTCGGTCAAGCTTGTTTGTAAGGTTAGTAGTTTCTGCATTTTGCTTTGCAAGCTCATCACGTATGCGTCTGCAACAAGAATGCAATCAGTATGACAGAGTATTAGAATCAATAATAACAATGGTAGTAACCAAATTATGATCATAAGGATTTTTCCCCATACCCTCTCTCAAGATTTAAATCTAAACGCTGGCCAGCAGTGAGCTTATCAACCTCATATCTGTTAAGCATGTGTACCGATGTCACAGGATGAATAAAAGATGGATTGGCACATTATAATATAATGGATGCAAAGGACATACTTCAGTTCACTTCGCATCTTCTCAATGTCATTCAGGAGTTTTTCGGTCTCACGTTGCAGCAAAGAAAAATGGTGTTCCTACAGTCGTAACAATTTGATTAATTGACACACATAATTTAGAACAACAAAAAGACTTTGATTTAATATGTAATGTGTAGTAAATAAGTTCATATTTGTATACAGACTTTGCAGAAGGCACACCTTTATTACATACTTACATACCGACATTGCAAAAGGCACATCTTCATTTCTTTTTCTAGAGCAAGGAATGACATGTGATGTTCAACTCTTAATAATCATAGAGTAGCTTAGGCAGGCATCAGATAATCATCCTAGTTCTTAGTTCCACTCCATATGCACATTCGACTCAGTATGACTAACGCTTAAGGAGGCAACACCATTTGAAAACTGATAGCTTGTTTTGAAGGCCCATAAATTTTAAAATGAATATGAATTTTTCAAACCATCTAGAAACAGTACTAAATTGCTAACATTACCACTCAAGTTAATGTTCTAAAAGCACATCTGCACACAGTCCCATTATAACTATAATACTCCGTAATTGAAGATACAAAAGCAACTCTCTGATGGATGAATGAAGATTCATTTTAAAAGATGTTGCGTTTTGCTACTATCCTTTTGGGCACTTCTCCTGGGCAATATTTACAGAACCTTTTCTTTTCTCTCAGTCTTAATTATTTATGCACATTATGTGTTATTACAATACATGAATCCAATCAATCCATTCACCTTACAAAGTTTTAGCAGTTAATAGACTCTGAAAGTCTTTGATGAACCTAAATAGGTAATTCCTAATAAAAGCAAAAGTTGGTATAGAAAACAAATTCGGAGTAGTTCTTTACCTGAGAGCTCTGCACGGCAGATTTAAACTTGGAAATATCAGCTTCTTGAAGCATCTCAGACTACGAAGAGAAAAGCAAAGATCTTTCAACAAGGCAAACAATTTGTTTAGCCATTTTAATTTACAAGAATTTAATCCATATTTGAACACTAGAAACTTCCAAGACACAATATACAAAAGAGTAGCTAAATATGAGAAGTGTTAAACTCACCTTCTGCATCTCAGCCTTTGAAACCAAAGAACGTGCATTGTTTTCCAAACTGTCATTCAGAACTTTAGTAATGGCAGATGTTATAGCCTCTGCCTGGTTTGACGGTACCCCTTGTGCTTCTAATCCCCTAACCTATCAGTAGACATAATTCCAATAAAACAGCAAGCTAATGCAAGTTCTTCCAAAACAACAGATCAATCGTTCCTTTAGACGTTCAAGAAACTATAATAGAAAACAACTAAGTCCAAATACGCAAAGAAACAACTTCCCATTATTATATTTACTACTACGTATGTATCTTTCTGTTTATCCTCGTCTACATTTCAATTTAAAAGGAGCGGCTGTTCCAAAATAATAGGAATGTTTTTTTACTCATATAATATAAACAAAAAAGCAAAACAGAAACAGTAACAAGACCACTAATTACCAGAGCAAGAGTATCCACTAGAAAAGCGCGATTTCCACTGGATTTTACGAGCTCTGAGATCGGCCTAAACTCGTATCTATTCGGCGAACGAGTGATAGAAGGTGGGCTATACAAACTAGCACAACCGACGACTTTAGATCGGAACTTATTCACAGCCGAGGAACCACAAACTTGAGACGGATTGAATCCTCTAGCGCCTAATTGAAGAACGAGCTTCCGAACCGCCATTTTCTTATTTCCAAATTTCTTGACAATCTTATGCAAAGCCGTGCATTATCTCTGAGATTCGCCTCTCTGTCCGATGAGAAGCTAAATTTAAAGGACCGTCCGATATGTTCTTTCCTCAAGCGTCAAGGAAGACAGGTTTTGTAAATGGCGCCTTCTTGAATGGGAAAGACGGACATGAAAGACAAGAAAAATGAGTTCTTTCGCAGTCTTGGGAAGCAAGATTTTCACTTTCTTTTCTTTCAGAGGGGAAAAATGGCAAAATAATCGAAGGTAAGATTTTATTGTTCAAATTGTTTGCACCTCTTTCTAAAAACCTTTGTTTTTGCACCGAATACGTAGGAAAAGAAAAAATGCCCCTCCATCAACCTTTGTGTTGGCCTTCAACATATTTCTGATCGGGGGCAATTTTGTCTTTTCGTACGGGTTGGGATGCAAAAACAAAGTTTTTTAATAATGGAGTGCAAAGTCCAATTTGAACAATAAAATGAGATGCAAACTCAAATTATCCCATAATCAAACCTTCGAGGGCGTTTGGTACATCTTTACTGTAATCAAACCTTCCCTGCAGGGCATATCAGCGTATGGGTTGTTTATTTATTTTTGGAAAACTCCAACGAAAAAGTTAATTAAGTCCTCATATTTTTAGAAAAATCAATCAGATCTCTAAATTTTGTAAAAAATTTCAATTGAATTAATTAGCAGATTATCTGTCATGTTAAGTCGTCCTATATAGTAATTTCAACCACTTCAACCAGCAAATGTAATACAAACCTTATTTATTTTTATTATCTCACAATTTAGCGTGCAAAGTTAAAAGACATGTATTTGATAAAAAAGTTGAATGCTAAGACTGATAGAATTTTATTTGATTATGCTAGTTCAGAAATATTCAAATTTAACAAACTGTGGCCAGAAAATTAGGTTGTATGAAAGTGGTGTTTTTTTTTTACTCTAGGGGGTCTGGGGGAGGGGGGCTAGGGGCCTGTAATAATTAGGGCTGAAACTCAATCCATTGAGTTTCAAACTCTTATGTGCCTAATAGGTTTCGAACTCGAGACCTTCCACTAGTCACAATAACCTCACAACCAACTGGACTAGAATGATTTGTTCGCACAAGAATATTAAGCAATAAAAACATTAGGAACACATAATATTATTTGTGAGTGGCTTGGGTGTAGCTCACGTGATCGGAAATTCGGAAGTATCACAATGGAGAGGCCTCAAATTTACCCAATCAAAGGCCGTATCTAGAACTTCACTCTATTTTCATCCGTATATGATAAAAACTCAATTTATATTATGTTAAATAATTGTTCAGCCATTTCAGCGGGCCAAGAGTGGAGTGTACTCATTTTAAAATTTTTGTGATCAAATTTTTTTTCGAATGAAGAGAATATGTCCATTAATCAAATTAGGAGTTCATTAAGTATCATTTTCGACTTGTGGTTTTCTGTTTATTGAAAACAAAAACTAAAATTTAAAACATTCCTGCTTATATATTACTACGTATTTTCCACTTTATTTCGCACATATTCTTAGAGCAGCTGAGCAGTGATCTGTGATGGTTAATACGTCTTGCGTAGTATTTTTAAAGCTTCTTAGAATTAAGGGGTTAGAAAGATACGACTATAGAATGACAAAATAAAAGGACACAATATTTGAATATGTTGATTCATCGCTAAAAAGATATGTTGAACTGATCTTGTTTGGTCTGATCTGCCAAGTGTCTTGTCTCTGTTAGTTTAAATCTCATAAACTAACAGAGGCCGTAGATACACATTTCATAGTCTATGCAATAAAACATGGTGGGAAGCCCAAACCCACAATGACTTTTTCGATAAAGTCTCATGACAAATATCAGATCAGATCAAACTTAAACAGACCAGATCATATCAGACCAACTTTCCTAGTTATAAAATATACAGAGACAAGACACTTAGCAGATCAGACCAAACAAGATCAGTTCAAATCAGACCAGACCATCAAATTACAGTCCAAATAAAAACGTTTCAATTCCTCATCAAAACATTTGCCTTAGGGCCGTACCAAAACCTTGCAATAAGTATACAAAAATAGTTAAAACACTGAAAACACCTGGTGTCGGATAGTACTTGACGAATAGAAGTGTTCGAAAATGGAAAGTTCTTTTCGATCGCCCGTGTAAAATGGTGTGTACTAAAAACGTGTACAAAATGCATTTTCTTTTTTTACATATTGGTTCACACTTTTCATATATTTGTTATCTTGGACCATACTACTTGATACGGAGTAATACTTCGTATATATTTCTATTATTTATACTACAACCTTTTATGTTATTATAATCTATATGGTTTTGTTTTTCTTATAATTTTTTATTCTTTATTATTCTCATCTTTCTAGCTACAAACACATAAAAGTTATTAGACATCTAATACATAATCTATCATTTATATTAATTTTGTTTTAATAAGGTAAAGTTGTAAGAATTTAATATGCGTTAGAATTTAATATTCATTATAATCTATTATACGTAGTATTTAATGAAAGGGAAAAATAATTTGAATATCAAGAACTTTAATTGGTTGTGAGATAAATACCCAAAACTTGCATACTCCGTACGTAATTTTGTGTTGTTCTAAAACACACACTTGGATGTTTGTACTCTTGTCACTCTGAGGACTTATTGGACTAGATTTGGTTTACTCGAGAGGAGTAAAGGTTCAAGTGTGGGAGTGTTTGATATGCACTAATTAGTAGTGCATAAATGTATGTTTTTATGTTTGATTTGTGTGGATTGTTTACCGTTTTATTTAGTTTGTAAACATTTGTTTGATTTTAGTTTTAATTGTATTTTAATTTTCATTTGTAAGTTGTAATTTGTAAAGTAGAGTTAGGAATTATGGTGTTGGAAAGAAGGACTTTGAAGTGAAGAAATATGATATTTGACTGCCCAGGAGCTAAAACCCAACCGGGTAGGACCTTGCACTCGGTCGGGTAAGAAGTGAAAACCAGAGATGCTCAAGAAATTGCCAGACACTGTCGGGTCAGATGTGATCCGGGACAAAACGACGTGCTGAAACACAAGAACGTGGAAAATATTTGATTTTGACCGGTATTCGGTCGGGTACCCGGCCAAAGGTGTTGAAAACACCTATAAATAGCACACTTTTCCTTCACTAATTTTCACTCCTTCTTCCATACTCTTAAGCTCAACTTAGAATAGAGTGGTGGGAAAGTTAGAAGAATGACTAAGGGTCGAAACCTGCAGCGGCCGTGTGGAGATGACAATTCCTGCGTGTCGGGCTGGACCACTGGTGCGCACGGGTACAAGGTCTACCACCATTGGCTGACTGAGTCACATTGATTTACAACCTCCCAAATGCCTTTTCGGGTCGGGTGTGGGGGCCCTTGAGGTTGGAGATTCAACCTTTTTGGAAAATTGACTCAATAAGTGGAGAACTAAAAATGTAACTATTATAATAGTTGAAAGATAAAAGTGTCATTTTTATGAAAGTCGAAAAGTTAAATATGGAAGTTTTTAAAGATGGGTATTAAAAGTGTCTTTCGCACAATAGTCGATAGGCTAAAAGTAGAAAAATTTAAAATCAAGTATCAAAAGTGTGTGTGACATAATAGTCGATGGATTAAAAGTGACAAAATTCGTGTAATGAACTAAAAATTGCCTACTTTAGGTGGACAAAAACGGTTGTTTCCGGACCAATAACACTTTTGGTTTGGGTTTCATTTCTCACTAGTTTGAGACTGGTTTTGGTTTTCGAATGAAAACCACCTGTTTCGGACCTTCTTTTGATATAACTTCTAAAGTCGTTCTTTGTGTATGCGTCGCTTTTTACATGCAGACACTTATGCATGTATATATTTTTAAAATGCATTTTTAGGATGAATTGATATATAGAACATGTTTCTATCTTTGATAAGGTTTCGGTTTTTGTAGGATGAATGAGGTCTTCTATGATATAAGAATTTATCATGAAACGGTACCATGATTTAGATATGCGGACTCAAGGACCTTAGTACCTAACATTCGTTTTTGAAACGAGACAAAAGCATACCATATTGAAATCTTTTCGAAAATATTAAAGCATTCAAGGATTCTTGAGATATGTGTTTTTGTTAAGGGGAAAGTAATTTAAATATCCTAAATTTTGAAGAGGTGTGAAATACGTTTCTCAAATTTGTACATGTGATATATATATATATATATATATATATATATATATATATATATATATATATATATATTGGTTCAAATAAGAACACGATCTTATGAGAAAAATGAGAACGAATCTGGACCGTTAGATTTGTCTCAAGTGAAATTCAGTGTGCATTAGATGAAACTGTAACGTGCATTAGGTGAAATTGAAATGTGCATCACAAAGGGTACGATAGAGTGACATTATGTGCAGTTGAATTGTGCATTACGTGAAATTGAAATGTGCACTAGGTGAAGCTGAAATGTGCAGAATAAAAAGTACGATGTGATGTTATTTTTGTACTTTTTTTTCGCATATATCAGTTTCATCTAATGCACACTTGAGTTTAAATTTTTATTTTGCACATTTCAATATCATTTAATGCACATTTCAGTTTCACCAAATGCACAATTTAGTTCCACATAATACAATCCAACGGTCCAGATTCGTTCTCATTTTTCTCCTAAGATCTGTTCTTACCGGAACCGCTCCCTATATATATATATATCAAACTTTATTTAAAGAGTCATATTGACACCATGATCACATAGTGTTTCACAAATATAATTTTATGGTGTTATGTACACAATATAAAATACACAAAACACAAATCAGTTATGAAGATGCAATTAAAACTAAATTGAACCGGATATAATATTATTATTTCACAAATTAAATTTTAGAATGTTAATTGCATTCTAACAAAGCATAGATTATTTTAAATCATGTACGTAGTCATTCCAATAAATTTGTATTTGTAAAAAAACACACAATCATGGTGCGAAAATATTTTTTTATATAAAGTTCGGGGTATTAACACTTGTCGTAGTTCGGAGGATGACGAGCACTTTGTCGTAGTGCGTCAAAATAAATTGATACTAACACTTATACGTAGTGTAGGTGAAGTAGAGTTCGTATCCACAGGGAAATGAATAATTCTCTTTTTAATAAAACTAGTAAATAAAAGGGGGGGTTTGGGATTGTTGGAATTAATTTAATTGAACACTAAAATGAACAACTTATATGTGATTTAATTCAAGAATAAAAAGGATGTGATCTTGCTGCTTTCCACGTGTTGATATATTTTAGTCGATCATTGTTATATCTAT